AATGCAAAGAACGAGAGAAACAGAGTACTGCAAGTGGCGCCGACCGCGCAAAAGAAGAATAGGAACCACGCGTATTAAGGAGGAAGAGCCCGTACCAGAACACCCCAAGGACTCCGCAAGAAGGCGCATGCACGCAATGTTCTCGACACGATGTAACGTCCGCCTGGCCCCCCCTATTCAACTCGTATGCAGAACACATCATGCAATGTGGGCTTGACAAATGCAAGGCTGGGGTGAAAATTGCTGGAAGAAACATTAACAATCAATATGCAGACCACCCTGATGGCCGAAAGCGAGGAGGAGCTGAGGAGACTTCTAATCAAGGTGAAAGAAGAAAGCGCAAAAGCCGGGTTGCAGCGAAACATCAAAAAAACCAAGATTATGGCAACAAGAATGATTGACAACTGGAAAATAGAGGGAGAAACCTGGAGGCCGTGACAGACTTTGTATTTCTAGGTGCAAAGATTACTGCAGATGCAGACTGTAGCCAGGAAATCAGAAGACGCTTACTTCTTGGGAGGAGAGCAATGTCCAGTCTCGATAAAATAGTGAAGAGTAGAGAAATCAGACTGACAACAAAGATCCGCCTAGTCAAAGCCATGGTATTCCCTGTAGTAACCTACGGATGTGAGAGCTGGACCTTAGGGAAGGCTGAGCGAAGGAAGATCGATGCTTTTGAGCTGTGGTGTTGGAGGAAAGTTCTGAGAGTGCCTTGGACTGCGAGCAGATCCAACCAGTCCATCCTCCAGGAAATAAAGCCCGACTGCTCACTGGAGGGAAAGATACTAGAGACAAAGTTGAAGTACTTTGGCCACATCATGAGGAGACAGGAAAGCCTAGAGAAGACAATTATGCTGGGGAAAGTGGAAGGAAAAAGGAAGAGGGGCCGACCAAGGGCAAGATGGATGGATGGCATCCTTGAAGTGACTGGACTGACCTTGAAGGAGCTGGGGGTGGTGACGGCCGACAGGGAGCTCTGGCGTGGGCTGGTCCATGAGGTCACGAAGAGTCGGAGACGACTGAACAAATGAACAACAACACACATGCAGCAACTCAGTGGGAGTGAGATTCCTCCTTGATGTTGGAGGAATGTTGAATGTCTGCTGGGGGAAAAATGGGAAAAGTCTGGGTATCGAGATGAAGTGGAATATTTTGTTGGAAGACATGGCTGGCTCTAAACCAGGGACACTCTGGTACAAGGTGAGGGGGGAATACTGTAATATTTTGCTCCGAGCTTTGATCGATAATGTTAGCATTTAATAAAGCACATTATTGCATCAGGCACAATAGGATAGCACAGTGCCTTTCGTCTTCCTGCAGAGGACAAACAGTTCCACCTCTAAGTGAAAACAACAACAACAGCAATACAAAATGGACAACAGATAAGGCAACCTTAAAAAATGCAACCACAGAGTTGAAACATAGATTTTTCAAGGAAATAGCATGTGGGCTAGGAGTTACCTGCATGTCCAATTAATGATTTTGTTTTTCTGTTCCTTTACATCATTACTGAGTGACCCTAAGACGAAACTGTTAAAGTGAAGGCTCAGTCAGGGTTTGCCATTGCTTCCTCTGAGGCTGAGAGAGTATGACTTTCCCAAGGTCATGCAGTGCAATTCCTTGTCTAGGTGAGAATTTGAACCCTGGCCCAACACTCAAACGACTACACATTCATTACAGTTATATTTTTAATGTTATCTTATTGAGTTAACAGCACTAAATAGGGACCGAGGCCAAATGAAGATTTAGCAGTTAGGACTAGCATGTTGCTTAGCTAAGCCTCTGTCCAAGCTGAGAGGGGTGGGTTCAAAGATGATCTTCAAGTCATGTTTGATTATTGTGTACAGAAAGTAAACCCTTCTTTGTTTACCATTTTTCTGCTTTGTGGTATTTGACATTCATTTGATGCCTGCCTCCAGCACATACTCCTCTAGCACATATAAACACTTCAGGCGATACACAGACGAGAGAGACAGTAGGCCCTCGGTATCTGCTGGCGTTTGATTTCAGAACCGTTGTGGATAACAAAATCTGCGAATGCCCAAGAGTCCCGTTATATACAATGGAGTACTAAAATGGGAAAATAAAGTTTTGCTTTTTGGACTTTGGAGGAATATTTTCAAGCTGTGGAGAGTGGAATCTGTGGATGCAGAATCCGTAGACTTGGGAGGGCCGCCTGTCCTTTAGTCATCCCCTAAATAACAGCCTGATCGATACCTCTCAATTATCTCACACTGGCATCTTCTACACCAGTGATCCCCAAACTAAGGCCCATGGTTTAGATACAGTCCTCCAAGGCCATTTACCAATCCTCCACCCTAAACTTTAGTTGTAGGGTGGTTCTAAGTCTGAAACAACTTGAAGGCACACAACAACAATCCTGATTAACAATCCTTTTGGCCACCAAGTTTTGTACTGTGACTTAATTTCTGTAAGCTGCTCTGAGTCTTGTTTGGAGAGGGGGCTGGAATATAAATAAAAGTTATATTTATATCAATTAATGTCAGGGGAAAACCTTTACATTTACCTTTAATTATTATTATTATTTGAAACACAAAAAGATCACTCTGCTGGCTGTTGTATTGGATCACACGTCGGACACTTCCCAAGTGTCTAGGACTCTGTGATGTATTGGTGAATGATGCGTACAGATCCCAGTAAGGTGGCCTTCTGTAACTGGCAGATGGTAATTTTGTCACCGCCGATTGTGTTTAAGTGCAGGCCAAAGTCTTTAGGCACTGCACCCAGTGTGCCCATCACCAATGGGACCTTGACTGGCTTGTGCCAGAGTCTTTGCAGTTCGATCTTTAAATCCTCGTATCGTGTCGGCTTTTCCAGTTGTTTCTCTTCAATCCTAATGTCATCTGGGATGATGATGATGATGATTATAATACTGTGGGATTTTCACACATCCCTAGGAACAGCATTGAATTCTTATAGTGCACAGCCTGTAGGCTGTTAGGAATTGTGGGACTTGAAGTCCAAAACCCCAGGAGGGAGGGCCCAAGTTTGCCTATGTACGTTAAGTCCAAACCTATATATATATATATAGTCGTTTCAGAGGGACTCCTGGTGTGAGAGAATTTGCCGTCTGCAAGGACGTTGCCCAGGGGACGCCTGGATGATTTGATGTTTTGTATCATCCTTGTGGGAGGCTTGTCTCATATCCCCGCATGAGGAGCTGGAACTGACAGAGGGCGCTCATCCGCCTCTCCCCAGATTCGAACTTGCGACCTGTCGGTCTTCAGTCCTGCCGGCACAGGGGTTTAATCTACTGCGCCACCGGGGGCTCCAGTCCAAACCTATGAGGGACTTTGAAGGGCTCCCCCACGCCCAGTGAACGACAGAGCGCTGCGCTGCGTGTTGTTTTCTTTTTGGAAGCGCCCCTTGGGGCTGGCTCGCGCTGCTTGGGAGGCGAGGGGCGTGGTGTGAAGAGGGTAGGGGGCGGGGCCTGGGGAGAGGGCGGGGAAAGGGGGCGGGGCCATGCAGCGAGGGCGGGACGTGCGCGCGGGGCCGGGCGGGGAGCGCCGTCCTGGGCCAGGTAGAGGCGCGGCGCGAGCCCGGCGAGGAGGAGGAAGGCGGCGGCGCGGCGCTCCCTTCTCCTTCTGCTTTTGCTCCGGATGGCGACGCGGGTGCTGAACATGGGCGCCCGCCTGGGCCCCGTCGAGGAGCCCGTCTTCGCGCAGCTCAAGCCCGTCCTGGGCAGGGAGGCGCCCCTCTTCGCCGGCAACGAGCAGGACCTCAAGCCTCCACCGCCGCCGCCGCAGGAGAACGCCACGGAGGAGATGGCGCAGGTGAGGCGGCCCCTGAGCATGGGCAGAGGGAAAGAGGGAGGAAGAGAGGGTGAGGAGGTTCGGCCAGTCCCCTCCGAAGGCGCCCTCCTGGGCTCGGGCGGCATGTCCTTGGGGCGCTCCGTGAGGGGAGGCGCGCGCCCCCGCCTCATGCCGCTGGCTGCTCCCTCCTCCTCCGCCTCCTCCGCCTCCTCCTCCTTTTCTCTTTCCCGGCACGAGGAGGAGTGGGCGGAAGGGCCCCGGACGCCCCGGCAGCTGCTCCTGCTGCTCCTCCGCGCCTCGCCCACGCAGCGCCCTTTCCCGCGGAGGCTCCGCGCGACTCCCGGCCTCCCTTCTCCTGCCCCACAAGCCACCCGCCAACAGCTGGAAGAGCTAAAAGGGGAACGTCCTGGGAGAGAGTCCCACTCTCTTGCACTCTTATATACGTATATAGAGAGAGGGGGGGGGGGGAGAAGAAAGTGTGTGTGTGTGTATAGATAGATGGATAGATAGATAGCATGCACAACGGTTTCCATTTGGAACCAGTCCTGAGTTGCTCCATGTGGGCCTTTATTTTGGTGGACAGTTCTTCTACACCAGGCATGGGCCAACGTGGGCCCTCCCTCCAGGTGTTTTGGACTTCAATTCCCACCATTCCTAACAGCCTCAGGCCACTTAACCTGCTGAGGGGAGAAAGGAAGGGGCCTGGTAGGAATTGTGGGAGTTGAAGTCCAAAACACCTGGAGGGAGGGCCCACGTTGGCCCATGCCTGTGAACACACCCGTTTCACTTGCAAAGTGTGTGGATGTATAGATTCAACACACACACACACAGAATAGAAAGCTCCCGGCTTGATTCCTACCGGCTGTTAGAAATTGTAGGAGTTGAAGTCCAGAATACCTAGAGGGAGGGCCCAAGTTTGCCCATGCCTGTGAACACACCCCATTTCACTTGCAAAGTTTGTGGATGTATAGATTCAAAAGACACACACACACACACACACACAAATAAATATATAGACACACACAATAAAAATTATATCAGCTTCCACCGTGATGTCAATTTAGAAAAGGTGTGAATCCTGTTTGAATTGAATCTTAATTTAATCCTAGCACCTTAGGCTGTATGGGGAATTTTGGACTGTTTATATACACACACAGTAGAAATTAGATCAACTCATGGTCTGATGTCATTTAGAAAAGATGTGAATCCTATTTGAATTGAATCTTAGTTTAATCCAGCGCTTTGGGCTGTATCGGGAATTTTTGGCTGATTTTAATGTTACGGCTTATAATATGGCTATGTAAAGACTTTCCTATTTGAAACAGCTTTGAATTGAATCCTTGGACTACATGGGGAATTTTAGGCTGATTGTAATGTTATGGCTGATGTTACGGAGCATTCAGGGAACTCATGCTAATATTTTTTAAATTTTGTGTTGCATTGTATATTTTAAAGATGATGTGGAGCCACCTTGGGTCCACCTGGAGAAAGGTGGCATAGAAAGGCCTGAATTAATAATAATTAATAAGGGCTCACTTGTAAGTCCTTGGTGTGTTGGTGTGTTTTTATGTAATATATATACACACACACACACACACACACACATACATACATACATACACACACCTCTTGTAAGCCCTTATTGTGCTCACATACCTATGGCTGTGTGTGTGTATATAATACACACATTTCTCTTACAAGCCCTTATAGTAAATATATACACACACACACACACACACACACACACACAGATATGGTAAATAAAGGCTCACATATCTATGTATGTGTGTGTATAATGTATTTTATATATATATATATAAATATAATACAATACACATTTCTCTTGTGAGTCCTTATTGTAAAAAAGGGCTAACAAATTTGTGTGTGTGTGTATACACACACTTATTTTGCAAGCCCTTATTGTGGTAAAAAAGGGCTCGCATATTTATCTCTGTGTGCGTATATAAATACATATATTATATACACACATATTTCTCTCACAAGCCCTTATTATTACGGTAAATCAGGGCTCACATAACTATGTATGTGTCCATATATATACCCGTTAAATAAAGGCTCACAAGTAAAGTGTGTGCGCACGCATGTATCTATTTCCTTCAGATTTTCCTGCTCCTTGGCAGGGGGTTGGACTGGATGGCTCATGAGGTCTCTTCCAAACCTATGATTCTATTTATTTATTTATTATGTTTATTTATATCCTGCTTTTTTCCATATGGAGACTCTAAGCGGCTCACAACTAAAAGCGTTTCGATACAATTTGAAATATACAAATATGAAAAGAGTATTACACAAAATTAATATTAAAACAGTCCAGGTTAAAATTATAAAGGCATGCATGCACACACACGCAGGCAGGCAGTTCCCAAGTTACGAACAAGATAGGTTTCTTCTTAAGTTGAATTTGTTTGTAAGTCAGAACAGTCACTTTTTAAAAGCGTAACTCCAGGGAAATATTTACACTTTTTAAGCTTTGGATAGCAAAGGGAAGGGTTAACACTCCTGTGGCGTCCGTTTTGTTATCTATCTGTGCTCCTGCTCACCTCACTTTCCGTCTCTGACAATTGGATTTTGAAAAATTTAGCTTGTTGTGGGAACAAGGGCTGGTGGTAAACTTTCAGTGGAGACACATTTATAACCCGCCCTCTCTCTAGGAGTGAATTTCCCTTCCTAGAGATTAATTTCTCTCACTTCCTGCTGTCTCACCCCCATTCTTAACTACAAGTCGTTTGTAAGTTGAATGTTTGTAACTCAGGGACTGCCTTTATATTATTCTTTCCTCCAAATACAGGATAGCCTTTCTGGGGGTAACATGAGTGGAAAATCCCACCAGTGGAGCAACCCAAAGCTCTGTTTACAGCGTTGTATACGCATATATGTTTGGGATTGTATAGGTTTTGTCAGTCTTTTTGGTTTTACTGTATTTCTTCAATTCTAAGACACGCTTTTTGTGTATTTAAACATCTCTAAAAATGGGGTGCAGTTTAGACTTGCAGGTGTCTTTTCATGTGTTTTTGTTGTGGGTACTGAAATTAGGGTGTGTCCTACAATCATTGGCGTCTTACAGTTGAAGAAATAAGGTACTATAAAATGACATGTGTGTTTGATGGCATGCTAAAAAGGAACTGCAAGGGCCATCCAGTATGCCATGCATTAACACTCAATCAAAGCACTCCCAACAGATAGCCATCCAACCTCTGCTTAAAAGCCTCCAGAGAAGGAGACTCCTACATTCTGAGGCAGCGTAGTCGGCTGCCAAACAGCTCTTACTGTCAGGAAGTTATTCCTAACGTTGAAGTGAAATCTTTTTTCCCCTGCAATATGAATCTATTGCTAGAGCAGCAGAAAACAAACTTGCCCCCTAAATATTAAGCTTGAATTGATTTGCGCGTGGACTGTATTAAAATGATTTGGGCAGGGAAGTGTGTGTGCAAAAAGCAAGGAACGTTGGTTTCAGCTATACTTCTCTCTCCCCCCTTCCCCCAAATACATACATACATACATATGTGTGTGTGTGTGTGTGTGTTTCTGTCATCAAAACAAGCAACATTGGGGTTGTAAACAAGATCTGGAAAAAGTCGCCTGGCATGTTAAGGCAGATTGAGAGCAGAGACAAGAGGGCTGCTGTTCCTCTTTTCGGGTGAGGGCTTTCTGGTGGTGGCTGTGGCTTCGGAGACACTCTGAAAATAAACTTATTTCTCCAATGTTCTGTTGGTCAGCAGACCCGCACTTCAGCGGGTTCTGGCATGAATGGACTCCTTACAGAGCAAGGGGGAATGTAGCATTTGCTCACTGGAGAGTGCATGATAAATGTTTTACTGATGACTGTGCCTGTAATGTATCAGGCTGCTTCCACCCACAGATTCTCCAGTACTTCTTAGCTGGTTAAATGATCCCCACTTTACCTTGTAGCAATTAAAGATATCTTCTAGGATAGAGATATATGCATATGGATGTGTGTTTACTGGGGCTGTAATGTTAGAAAACCCTGGCTTCACTTCGAGACAGGTGAAGGCTTGAAAAAGCTCTTGAAATCCAGAGGCCTAGAACTAATGGCATCTTTTGGGCAGAGGCTGGCAGAGTTATTTGGACTACAGTTCCCAGAATTCTCTAGTCATCTTGGCTAATAGCTGTACTGGATGGGGATTCTGGGATGTGTGTTCCAAAGAGAGCCAGCACAGTGTAATAGTTTGAGTATTGAATTATTGCTGAGGGTTCAAATCCCAGTTTGGCCATGGAAACCCACTAGATGACCTTGGGCAAGTCCCTTTTTTTCAGCTGCAGGGGAAGGCATTTGCTTATGTCCTCTGAACAGAACTTGCCAAGAAAACTCCATGATATTGTCGAAGGCTTTCATGGCCAGAAACACTGGGTTGTTGTAGGTTTTTTGGTCTATATGGCCATGTTCTAGAAGCATTCTCTTGTGATATTTTGTCTTCATCTATGGCAGGCATCCACTGAGGATGCTTGCCATAGATGCAGGTGAAACATCAGGAGAGAATGCTTCTAGAACATGACCATATAGCCTGTAAAACCTACAACTCAACTCCATGATAGGTTTGCTTTAGGGTCGCTACAAATCTAAAGGCACAGCAACAATGTTGTCAACTCCTGCTTTCTAGTACAAATCAGTTGTTCATTTTGTGAGTTATCAGCAGAACATCATACTGAATTTTAGATTCTTTTCATGCATGATCAAATTCGTTTGCCAAATGAAAAATATGCCTGTCTTTGAAACATCTTTACACCACAAGTTTGCCGCAATCTGGTATTTAACCTTTAGCATTTAAGATAACTGAAAGCTACAGTACAGAGTTTGGAAATGAGGGGTTTCGACAAAATGGCCCATGTGGTCTCTTCCAACTCTATTATTATTATTCTATGATTTAAGGCTTTTAATCCAAGGTGGTAAGAAACCTGTTCCCTACAAACTTCCTTATACAAAACTAGGAAGTTGGCAGGCAGGTTACTTACTAGATTTCTGTTTACCAGGAACTATTTTGTATGGAGGTAATACTGAACCACTGCTTGTAAAACCAAGTATTCACATTGATTTTAGCCTGAGATGAGACTCTTGATATTCTTCAAGAAGCAGCTTACAAGTCATGACATTCAAAATTTCGAATCTGGTTTATTTCATAGTATTTGTAACACCTGCAAGGTCAAGATTTATAAAATCTTTAAAACAGCAACATTAAGTTGCTTTCAATTGCTGCACAAGAGTCCAGGAAAAAGAAAATGTTCTATATTTTAGTCTAATATCCATATTAATCTTCCTTCTTTGTAAAATTACTTCTGATTTTTTTAAAAAAACCTCTTGACTTGCCTGTTGTTTACTATGCCTTAATTCTTAATGAGGGAAATGAAAAGAAAGCTTGTGTAAGCCCTACGTGAAAGCCCTTATTAAAACCACATCACTAGTGTTTAATTATAACTCCGATGACATGATATACTTGATGTGAACTAAACACTTCTCTATATAGTTGTAACATAGCAGTTGGCAGACTTTGAAGTATGACCAAGAGATTTTATTGAATATTTTGGACTTGTGTTTACTGTGGCAAAACATTTTTATTTTGTATTGATACTTATTTTAGAAAGGTTATTTTGGTCTTATTCAATCAGCTCCCCAACCTTTTGAAGTAGCAATTGTAAAAAATGCAGATGGCACAATCCACCCGAAATCAAGCATTTCTAATCTGCCTTGATCTCAACAGGAGAATTAAGCACATGCTTCAATCTCTCCTGTTGAAATCCAGAAGTCATTGCCTCCCTTTATTTTGACTGGAACATATCCACAGTTTTCTTGTAGTGTTCTTGGCTAACATAATTCAATATCCCAGTCCTAACAAATTTCTTGGAAGTAAATCCATTTGATTTTACAGAGACTTTTCAAACAGATGACTGTATTAGGCTCAGGACTTAATTTATATTTGGGCTCAGGCCTAGTATATTTTTGTATTGCTGAAGCTTAATCTCAAATAGATGAAAAGTGCCCTTGGCCAGGTTCAAGTGGGTACTACGTTTGGACACCTCCTAGGTTTACCACATATCCAAGATTAGGAAGAATGGCTTTTAGGCTGAATTTGTGTGTGTGTGTGTCAGAAGCAACTTGAGAAACTGCAAGTCACTTCTGGTGTGAGGGAATTGGCTGTCTGTAAGGACGTTGCCCAGGGGATGTCCAGATGTGTTACCATTCTGTAGGAGGCTTCTCTCATGTTCTCGCATGACAAGCTGGAGCTGATAGACAGGAGCTCACCCCACTCCCCAGATTCAAACTGCTGACCTTTCAGTCAGCAGTCCTGCCAACACAAGGGTTTAACCCATTGCACCACTGGAAGCTGAAATAACTAGAAAAGTTATAGTTATACAGACTAGAATTTTTTTTAGCATATCAGAGATTTATATAATCTGTTGGGATTCTTCTCTATAAATTGCCTAAAAATAACATTTTTTTCTCTTTGCCCTATTTGTTCTCATTCAGGCACGGTGTGAAATGGAGAAATACCTGACAGGCCAACTTCCCCTTATTCCAGATCACAAAAAGTACCGACGAGACAGTGCCTCCATTATTGATCAGTTCTTCACCAACAGTGAAGGGGTGCCTTATAGTGTCAACATGAATCTGTACCTTCCCGATATCACCCAGCTGAGGACGGGCATGTACAAGTCACAGAGACCCCCGGTTACCCACATCAAGACAGAACCCGTCACTGCCTTCAGCCACCAGAGCGAGACGGCTCCTCCGGCCCCAAACCCTACCCAGGCACTTCCCGAGTTTACAAGTATCTTCAGCTCCCATCAGGCTCCAGACATGAACAATCTATTCATTAAACAGGAGCTCCCCACTCCCGATCTTCACCTTTCCATCTCTGCTCCCCAGCAAGGCCAGCTGTATCAACTCCTGAGTTCTCCGGATTTAGACATGCCAAACCCAGCAACCCAAGCTGCGGTGATGGACTCCCTCAACAATGTTTCTATGTCTTCTGCCATGGCAGGCCTTAATACGCTGTCCTCTGCTATGCCACAGACAACAATGAAACCGTTCCATGGGCTCCCGCAGTGCACATATACCATGCCAAACCAGTTCCTCCAGCAACAAGCCACTTACTTTCCTCCTTCTCCTCCAAGTTCAGAGCCTGGGAGTCCAGACAGGCAAGCGGAAATGATGCAGAATTTAACCCCTCCTCCCTCTTATGCTGCTACAATTGCTTCCAAGTTGGCAAGTCACAACACCAATTTGCCCCCCAACATCTCAATGAATTCACCGCCTGTTCCAGCTGCCAGGTACAACAGGAAGAGTAACCCAGACTTGGAGAAGAGACGGATTCATTTCTGTGATTATCCTGGTAAGCCTTGGGGGGTGCGGAGAAGATAAAGTTGTTGTTCAGTGACAGATGTGGCTTAGTAGTAATTAACAGTGGCACTACCACAACACTAACACTTGAAAAAAAAAGCCCCATACACAATGAATCCATGTAGTATCAATCTGCAAATCCTACAATTGATTCCTTTGTTCTTCACTCTACAAGCTAAACATAAACATAGTTTGTAGAAGTCTTGTTTTGGAAAATTGTTCAGTAACAGAATACTAGTTACACATACCAAAATGTGTGCATTTTCTTTTAAAAAACAACAACGTTACCATAAGGTTGTGCAGCCTAACAAAACTTCGGGCTACTTTTGGGAACTGTGGAAACTAGAATTGTTCTTGGACAGTACTGCTTTATGCAGGTGTGAAATTGCAAGTTTCAGGTGCCTTCTTTTTCAGAGAAGCAGTTCCTCAACATAGAAACTTAACTTGTAAAAAAATCCAGCCTATAACATCTCTAATGCATTTTCTATATGCAGAACTCTAAATTATTGGGGGCCAAGGGAAAGTTCAATTTAGTTATTCTCCTTCCTGTGCTGCTCATCCCGAAGTGATGTAGTCCAAGTCCAGAGATCTACTAGGTGTTTGGTGGTTAATGGCCATTCTCTTCCCCACCCTGATGCTCTCCTCAAATTGTTGGACCACAGGTTCTATTTTTCCTCACCATACTATCTGGGGATGATTTGAATTGTTACCCAACCAACATGATTGGAGGACATTAGTATGGTGGCTGGCTTAGCTCACTGGGGAGATAGAGGACAACGTGTTCTTTTCATCACATAGTGAGTAGGGATGGGAACATGTCACTTTCCAGATACTGGACTGTAACTTCATTCATCCCTGACCAGCATAGATAATGTTTAGGGATGACAGGTGCTGCACTACTGACAGGATACAAGTTTCCAATTTCTACCCTGGAACAAAGCTACTTCACCCTCTGCAAAGCTCTCCTTTTGCCCACTTTTTCTATGAAAAATCCTATACCTGTGTCCAGTATGTTGTGTATTTTCAAGTTGATTGGCAATGTATGGTGACTCATTTCATTGGGTTTTCATGGGCAAGAAGTACTCAAAAGTTTTTTTATTGCCATTTCCTTCCTCTGAATCACAATCCACCTGGTTTTTGCTGGTGGTCTCCCATCCATGTATTAACAAGGGCTGACCCTGCTTAACTTTCAAGATCAGATAGGATCAGGTGCCTTTAGGATATTGAGGCCTGTTATGTCCATTGTACAATATCACATATTATGGAGAGTAGTCCTTCCATTACATGCATTTCCCAAGGTATTTAGATGGTAAGAGTACTAGTCATGGGTAGGCACCTCTGCAGATACATCTGTAGGTGTCCTCTTATGGCCCAGGTGCAGTATTTCCCCATCTAAATCTTTCTTTCTTACAGTAGAGTAGGGATGGGGGCATTTTGGATTTCATCTCCCTAAGGCCCAGTCTAGCATGACTAGTAGCCTGGGATTATGGGAGATGTAGTCCAAATGTAGTCCAAAATTCCTGGTGGGCAAAAGGTTCCCACTTGTTATAGAGCCCTGTCCTCTAAAGCCACCGAACCGTTTTCAGACATAGTAGAATTGCAAACAACACAATATGAGAGGGCGGAGTGCATTTTTGATTCCTTGCCATAAATCGCCAATTAATATGATATGCTGATTTTGTTTCTTTAAAGTCATTTTTGTGTTATTTTTAAAAGTATAATTTGGCATTGGTAAAGGAAGTAAAAATGAGGAAAAGTAATATAAAATCTTAAGAAAAATGTTAACACTGTGCAACTTAACAAACATTGATAATGAATTGGAATAAGTTCTAGCTGATAGTGTGAGAAATATGTATGTATGTATGTATATATGGACCTATCTTCTATATGCCAGTACTAGGAGCTGTCCTTTGCTGTTAACCGAGAGTGGAACATTCTATATGACATACCAGAGTTTTGAGTAACTTTCTTAAAATAAAACAGTGCTATCAATTAAAACTACCGCTAATATTTTGGTGATCATGCTGAATCTTAATGCTTTCTGGCTAGAAACTCCTCCACCCCTGATTTCTCCTTTCATTTTTTTTTGTCTTAGGTTGTCAAAAAGTGTATACAAAGTCTTCCCACTTAAAAGCGCACCTGCGAACCCATACTGGTATGTGTTTACTATGTTTCTAAATGTCCTATAAATATAAATTGGCCATCCTTCTTTCTCTGCTTTGCTTGAAAGGCTTCACTTGGTTTGCTTCAAGCTGAGAGTTATAAATCAACTAAACAGAGTGGTTAATAAAATGAAAACTGACACTTTTGAACTTCTTAAAATACAGAGGTTTAATTTGGGCAGAAATAAATACTCCTTGTTAAAGTCCTATCATTCTTCCCCCTCTTTAAACATTTACAGCCAAATTATGCTGTGATTTGGTCGAGGTTGTCCTGCCTGTTTTGCAGTGTGTCCTTTTGGGATTTTTTTATTCCATTTACATACAGTGAAGTAATTAGTCTTAACTAAATTGAGGTTACATTCCTATAACATTTTCCTGGGAACAGCATTTTCTTGGGCTCATCTCTGTGTAGATAGATAGTTATAAGATTGCACTATAAAATTTTCTGTTTTGTAAAAATTAGATTCCCAGCATTTGTGTTTTGGTTTTCTGACTGAGGCTGCTAAACTTCTGTTTCCGTAGTAATATATATTGGTAAAAATATTTTAAGATAATTAGGCTTTTTTGTGATCTCTGGTCTCCCGTCCCCTTTCCCAATTCAAATATGAGTAACTATTTTGAGTGCATGAATAATTGTGAACCATGTGCATTTTCTGAGTCAAGTGTGTTCTGAATAATATTAATCTCCATTCAGATATAGTTAATTTTTTTTCCAGCGATTTGTTCTCCAGCTCCAGATAGTGTTGCAGTTCACATTTTCTCTAACATCTCTAGAGAAATGGATCCTCATTGGTTCGAAGCGTAGAAGGCTTTGTGTAGATCTTGAGGTTTAAGGTTTCTTAGTTCACTGTTGGTCCAACTTGAGCAATTAAAATATTTTGTCTCAAGAAGTGTATTGAAGGAAGTAATGAATTAGTGCTGGAGCTTGGATGCAAAATATCTTTCATTCAATCCCAGACTTCTCTTGAAAGACGTGGAAAAGACTTTCCACCCCAAATAGGCTAGTGATCTATTTGAAGTGTGGTAACTTCTTATGACTTCTTATAAAGCACAACACCTAAAAATGTTTTCAAAAATTCATTTTGGCAGAAAAACTATTATAGAGCTTTGCAAGGGTCCTGCATATCTGGACTATATAGAAGAAGCACAGGTTGTTACGTTTATATGCATGTAAACATTTTGCATTTTCAAAACAGGGTTGATGCTTTCTTTATTGTGGTAGTTTGTATGTACTAGGCTTCTGGTTGAAATGGTTTCCTTGTCATTGTAAATAGCAAAAAAAAAAAAAACTGGATAAGAAATCAAGCAAAGTTCTGAGACTCATTTCATCTATGAAACAAGGGCTTGCATTCAGTGATTGCTCATTGTTGAAAGGCTGAATATCTCCAGGCAAAAGTGTTACTATGGAAATGCAGTTTTGATAAACCAAAGTAGTTATCTCTAAAAGAAGCAGCCAAAAGGCACTCAAATGTTAAAAAGCAATCATTGTAGAACAAGAAGATTAAAATAGTTTGCAGTGTGAATATAAAGCGACCCCTCCACCCCGAAATTGCTGCCCACCGTACTTCTCCATGATGTACTAATGTGGTCTTGCCTTCCTCCAATTCAGTGTCTGTTGGGTAGGTGAATGCCTGCATCTATGGGGGGTGTGCTAATGTGTGCACACATCATCCAGCTGTTCCCAAAAAGAGAGTGAGCAAGTACAGAACTATCTGTTCTCTGAAAAACATGTCCAATTCTTTCTGTGTGTTTGTGTGTTAAAGTTGCCTATTGAAATATGGTGACTCTGTTAATTTCATGGGGTTATCTTAGGCCAGGAATACTCAAAGGTGGTTTTTGCCAGTTCCTCCCTCTGAAATGCAGTTATAGCGCCTGGCATTGATTGGTGGTCTCCCATCCAGGCACTAACCTAGTACTAATCCTGATTAGCTTCCAAGATCAGATAGGAGCTGGTGCTTTTAGGGTAGAGACTAAGTCACTCCACACCACTTCCAGACTGTAAAAGAGTTCTGCTAAGAAATGTGTGTTCTCTCAGTGTTGCTGGACAGCAAATCATGAGGGATGATTGAAGTTGCAGTCCAGCAACATCTGAAGGGCTGTTCATTTAACAGTAAAATATAATTTATTTATTTATTTATTTATTTTGGGCTTTTACATCCCATCCTAGAAGAGTGAACTATTTCTTCATGCTATACTCAAGGGTTTGACTTTCCACTAATTTGCCAATCTGACTTGCTCAGTATCATTTCAAGACGTTGTTAGAATTCACCTCGACCAGTATGACCAGGTTGTTGGGGGTTATAATATGACAAGATTTGGAGTGTAACGGGCTGTCTCTGTTGTCATAGAAGGTTTTTAAATTGTCTTTCTTAATGTACATGGGACAGATAAATAAGAAGTTAACTCCTTAAGTTATTTGGTTCTTTTTCTTTAAGTGTACGCTACTTAAGCATGATTATGATCATCATCAAACCTGGATAGTAAATTTAGTAATCAACAATTTTCCAGTTAAGTTAATGAGAAATTGCTGTAAGCTTTATTTCAAATTGTTGTTTGAAGAGCAGGATATACATTTGCTAATAATGTCATTGACATCTCACTGCTATGGTAGGAGAAGCTTAGATTTGAAAAGTAAAAGCATCATTTTTAACTGCATGTGGGTCCAATTCAGTAATCGAAACTACTCTGAGATATATAATCTACATTTAATATCTAAAGTATATTATTTCTGGTATGCCTCCCACAGTGTGTCTGTCTCTATATTAAAGACTACTGCACTTGCTTATTTGACATTTTTGGTGAAAGTACAAAAAAAAAAGCATTTCTGCACATTCCAAGGAGCAAAAAATAATTGCATTATGCAAATATTTTCAAAACTATGTTTCCTGGTTGCTCCCAATGATGCATGTCACATAAATAATAAACTGAAAGCATAATCAGCTGAAAGTATATGAAGTCAAATGTTGAATCTGTTATGCGATAAGTTTACCCAGAAGGGTCGGAAAAAACCAGTGTACCTTAATTAAGAAGTGTAATCTATCTGTTTCTGCAAAATATACTTTCGGTCTATGTGTTCATTTTACTTCATTCTGTACTTACAAAAAAGTGGTATTTGTGAACACTATAGCTTGAGAGCTTTAATATATGTAGGTCACAAAATGCAGGTTATTAAAGTTTTGTGTGATACTCTCGCCAATCCCCTTAGGGGTTTAAAAGACCTGTTTATCTGGCTCAACTTGTTCTGTAGTATCTATGGAGGACCACTGGTTGTTTTCTCTCTTCCTAGCAATCCATCTTAACCTGACTCTTATCCACTCTTTTTGGCAATCTGTCACTTAGAAATACCAGGAAAAATGCAAGCCTGTAGCGGCAATGAACATTTTGAGAAGTCAAAGCAAGACTGTATGCCTATTATTTAGAAAGCCTGTGCTTTTTCATAGTATTTATTTAGCAACCTGCCTCCACCTGAATGGCTTTTGGTGAATTTAATGACATTCTTTTCAGAGCAAATGTAAAGGCAGCAGCAGTGGTGAGAGATGGAATGTGGGCAGCAGCAACGGCCTGTCTTTCCATTCAGATAGGAGCAAGTTGGCAGGATTTATACATTGCAAGAAATAAAGAAATTGGCAAAGGCTCATGAAAAACGTACAGCTCACTTGGGGTGTGGGAGTGGTAGGAATGGACTCTGAGATAGCATTTTTGGCAATGTACAGAGTGGAGGTGCTAGCTTCAGTTGGATGGTTTCTGTAGCTGTAATGGAGACTTCATTTGCAAATATGCACAGTTCTATCTCTGATGCTTGATATCATTTTTGCAGAACACCTAAATGCTCTGGAGCTGGCTAATTGGTAGCTTTACCAAATTAACACTTAGATTTCAGTGGTCCATATATCAGGATCTAGTGACTTGAAACTCACTTTTATTTAAAAGGTTATCTAAGCAGGTTACTGCAGTGGTGATTTCTTCATAATTCTAAAATGATTGACTTTCTGAAAGCTAAATTGTGATTAGCAGTTATGGACAGCATTTTTACTAAGTCAGTGAGTTATGTTGAAGAGCATTCTGGTCTAGTCCCCCTATTCTGCCATGTAATTTGGCCAGTGACTTTAGACCAGGCATGGGCAAACTTCGGCCCTCCAGGTGTTTTGGATTTCAACTCCCACAATTCCTAACAGCTGGAGTTGAAGTTCAAAACACCCGGAGAGCCAAAGTTTGCCCATGCCTGCTTTAGACCGTTGTTTCTTGATAGGCTGTAACCTTATGCATACTTCACTTGGTAGTTATCCCTATGAAATATGGTGGGGCTTGACTTAGAGTAAGTGTTTGTGAAAATAACTTTGTTGTAAAAATTAAATGAAATAATTGCATCATCAACATAGTGAGTTCCTAAGGCAGTGGTTCTCAACCTGTGGGTCCCCAGATGCTTTTGCCTTCAACTTCCAGAGACCCTAACAGCTGGTTAACTGGTGGGATTTCTGGGAATTGTAGGCCAAAACACCTGGGGGCCCACAGATTGAGAATCACTGCGCTAAGGTAATTTACCAAAGCTGGTTAATATGACTGCAGGCAGTCCCTGAGTTTCAAACAAATGACTCATAGTTAAGGACGGGGTGATGCAACAGGAAGTGAGATAAATCTGCCCCTCAGAAGGGAAATTCACTTATGAAAGAGTGATAAGGGGAAAAGGTGTCTCCTCCACTGAAGCTTTCTCACCAATCCTTGTTTCTACAACAATCTAAAATTTTCAAAATCCAATTACCACAGGGATAGAAAGTGAGGTGAAATCTTCTGAACAGGGGCACAGTGCAAAATAAACACCATGGGGTGTTAACGCTTCCCCATGCTATCCAAACCTACAAAACACATATTTTTGGCTGGAGTTACACTTTAAAAATGTGCCTGTTCCGACTTACATATGACTGCAACCTAAGAACAAACCTACAGAACCTATCTTGTTCATAACTTGGGGTCTGCCTGTATATGAAAAGATGGC